GCGGGCCGGGCGTCGTCGGCTGGCCTCGGCCGCGCGGGTAACGGACCGCGGAGGAGTCGCCGCCCGCCGCGCGCAGACCCGGCTCTCAGGCCGCAGCCTGCAGGCCCGTCGGCCCCGCCTGGCTCTGGAGGCCCCCGTTTGGTCCCCATCCGGCTCTCGGGGCCCCCGTCTCGTCCCCGCGGTCCCCGCCTTTCTCTGGGGACCGCCGTCTCGTCCCCGCGGTCCCCGCCTGGCTCTCGGGGCCACCGCCTGGTCTCCTCAGCCTCCTTTTTCAGCCCCCAGGGATTCTGCTGTCTATGGCGGCCACGAAAACTTGGAACTATGATGAACATTTCAGGCCAGAAAAATTAAAAGAATGGCCAGATGCCGAGTCAGTTTCTCTAATGGAGGTAAAATAACGTGGCATTTTGAGGCGTCATTTTGGTGGCGGGACGTCAACCTCTCCAGCCCAGTAACTATTTGTCTTGATCATGCTTGTATTCCCAGACAGGGAACAGGGCCCGCTTAGACGAGGCACCCAAAAGAATTCCTTGAACGCGAATGGACAGGGGTCAAATGTCTAATAAGTAACACTATCTCTGGTTAGGTGTGTTGGCTCACACCCGTAATCCCAGCACTTCGGGAGGCTGAGGTGGAGAATCGCCTGAACCCAGATTCAAGACCAGCCTGGGCTACATAGTGAGACCTCGTCTCTACAAAAAAATTTTAAAACATTAACCAGGCGTGGTGGTGTGCCCCTGCAATCCCAGCTACTCGGGAGGCTGAGGAGGGAAGATTGCTTGAACCCAGGAGTTTGGGGCTGCAGTGAGCCTTGATGGTGCTGCTGCACTTCAGACTCTGGGCAACAAGACCCGGACTCAAACAAAAAAGTTATAAAATAAGCTTGAGACACAGACATTAGATTTACATTAAAACTATATGGGAAATTCACTGAGTTTTGGCATCCTAGTTTGTTTCTTCAGGATTTACATCCTAATATTCAGGTCTGTCATTTTAGGTATTAGCTAGAGAAGACATTGACGAAGCTGTGCATGCAATATTATTTCGAGAAAATTATATTGTGAAGGTAAGAGCTGGCTCCCTCTATGTATTCTAAGTGTGTTCTGGGGGACAAGAGTTGATGTCACTGAAGAGACTCACTTTTGGGGAGAATGAGTATCCTCTGATTTACCCGTTTTTACTGCACAGATCTGAGATCATGCCACCTTGTCATGGGATCACTCAGAGGTTCCGAATCCCACTTGGTTCTGTCCGGAAGTGATCAGAGAAATTATTCTAACTACACTCCCCTTTGTCCTGGTACTGAACAGAAATTCTTTCCTGCTAAACCTCACCTTTTCTCTCATATGTTCCTGCATTGCAGTGGGGACCTATAAATCTGCCAGAAATGAATGAGTTTTGAAGGGTAATGGCCAATCAGTAACTGATAGTCTCTATGGAATGAGTAAGCTTAAGGAAGGCTTAATTGCAATGAGAGAGATGATGTTATAATAGTGCTTTGACATTTGTATTGTGATTTATAGTTTATGAAAGAAGTGCACATATATTCTCATTTTAGCATCAAAAGAGGTAGGTGGACTCCTGTCCTTTAATACATAAAAAAGAGGTGTCAACAAACAGTATTCTTTCTACCAGTTTTGTCACAGACTTTCCTGATGATGACGGCTGGGCACGGAATGGATGATCAGGGAATGCTTCAGAATCCTGAAAAAGAAAGAGGAAAGCCAGGAGCTAGATGGTTTAGTCTGATTCATGGTTCGTGGGTTAGATGCAGTTTATCCTGCAGGCACAGCAGGTGTGGTTGAGAACTTCACACGAGTTCTTCCTGCTCCATGCTCTCAGGTTCTCTTGTTGAACACTGCAGTTCTGTGCTTCAGCTATCTCCTACTGGGACTTTGCAACCTGAACATGGCCAAGAGCTTAGGACTGGGAACAGTTGTTTTCTCCTCTTTATTCAAATGACAACACATGGAAAATGTCTTAATAATTGATTTTCTTTGTATCACCTCATTAGAGATTGGATACATATTTTCAGCATCTGGATATTTTTAAGGAAAGAAGAAAAGAGATGTTGCATAAAAAATGGGTGAAAAACGTTGCAGAGCCTCTCCAGCAGAGAATTATGGAGAAAGTAATTGCATATAAAGGGTTTGAAAAAATGAAACAAGAGAACTTTGAATATTATTTAAAGCACACAAATAAAACGGTATGGAGAGTTTTATTTTTAAAGTATCAGTTGAAGAGTTGATCTGGTATTTTCACTGGTGTACAGTCCCCAGCTTATTTTTGTATTTAAGATGAATTCGTTAAAGGAACACACCAATTGCATTCTTTACCTGGAATTTTGGGTGGAGTGGATAGGAGTGTTGGTCCAGACCTAGATTTATTGGAGTGATTTTAGGTAGATGTTAGTGGAATAACTGTGATATAACCCATAAGAGCATTTATTGTTTACTTAATAAGAAATTGAAAGGTAGGATGTCTGATGGTGGGTTCTTTTTTTTTGGAGTAGGAGTCTCACTGTGTTGCACAGGCTGGAGTGCAGTGGCATGCCCATGGCCACTGTAGCCTTAACCTACTGGGCTCAGGGCTGTCCGCCTCAGCCTCCCACCATAGGTGTGTACCACCGTGCCTGGCTATTTTTTATTGTAGAGACAAGGGTTTGCCAAGTTGCCCAAGCTGGTCTCAAGCCCCTGGGCTCAGGTAATCCTCTCACTTCCGTCTCCCAAAATGTTGGGATTATAGGTGTGAGCCACCACGGCCACCTGATGATGGGGTCTAACAGCATGATAATGTCAGGTTTTTTCTGTTTTTCTATTCTGCTACCCTTAATATGTTCAGTGTGTCCCCATCATTGTCATTTTCACCTGATGGTTGCTTGCAGCTCCAGGCACGGTATTAGGTCTACATTCAGGGGCAGAGCAGAGGTAAGGAAGGATACCAGGGACTCTCACCCTGCTCCTTTGGTCTAGAAGCAAAAATAGTTCCCAGAAGCTCTTAACAGACTTTCCCTTAGGTCTATTAGCTAGGACTAGGTAACACAGCAAGTCCTGGTCATAAGCAGGGCCCAGAAAGAGATTGTATGGCTTTCTAATCTCTATAGCAGGGCATGGGTAAGGGAGAATGGGATTGCATGGCTACTGGCTTAGCCAGCCTCTAGGTATATAGAGGGTCTAATAGATTCTACACTATGTTCTTCAGTTTGGCTTTGCAAAACAACAACATTTGGTTTCTTATTTTAAAGATTTTTTGCTTTATCTGTGAGGTCAGGACTGTCTTTTAAAATTTAGGCCTGCCTATTTGCAGTATCACCCCTAAGTTTGTTGGCTTTAGGTGTGCCCCCTCCCAAGTATTTACTAGAGATCTAGAGTAATTCGCTGGAATGCTAGTGCGTGTAAGTATATTTACTGAGCAAAATTTCAGAATGTGTACCTTAAATACTTTTTCCTAAACACACTAAGGGGAAGAGCTTAAGATCACATCCAGCCGGGGTCGGTGGCTCAGCCTGTAATCCCACGCTTTGGGAGGCTGAGGTGAGTGGATTGCCTGAACCCGCGGGTTCGAGACCTGCCTGGGCAACTTGGTGAGACCTCATCTCTACAATAAATCAAAAAATTAGCCGGGTGTGGTAGCGCACGCCTGTAGTTCCAACTACTTGGAAGGCTGAGGCAGAAGGATCGCTGGAGCCCAGCAGGTCAAGGCTGCGGTGGCCGGGAGCGGCCACTGCACTCCGAGACGCCAACTTAAAAAAAAAAAAAAATCCGGGCTCGGTGGCTCAGCCTGTAATCCCACACCTTTGGGAGGCTGAGGTGAGTGGATTGCGTGAGCCCGCGGGTTTGGGACCCGCCTGGGCAGCAAGACCTCATCTCTACAATAAATAAAAAAATCAGCGGGGCATGGTAGTGCATGCCTGTAATTCCGGTTACTTGGAAGGCTGAGGCGGAAGGATCGTCAAAGCCCAGCAGGTCGAGGCTGCGATGGCCGGGAGCAAAAACGTGATCACACAGGTATAGGATGGGAAAGCTACACCTTAGAAATGGCGTGTGTTGAAGTCTGCATGATTTTAAATGACAACAAATTCAATGTGAGCCAACCATATGAGCTGGCTTGCAAGAGAGCATATGAGCTCTCAGACTGTGTTAGGAGAGGCTGTGCTTAGCCTGGGCCACTCTATCCTTATCCTGTCATTCTTGGTGTCACACTGTTGAAGGGACACTTGTCAGTTGCAGAACGTTCAGAAAAAACAGTACTTTATAAGAAGAAAAGTGGACAGAAGTGGGATATTTGGCCCAAGGAAAAGAACACGGGGGGAATGAATGTTTTCAGTCTTTAAAAGGCAGACATGTAGCTGATGGGTCGATGTGTAGACCAGTATCTGCACCTGGAAGTTATAAGACAGAGTGAAACTCAAAGTGAAACCAAAGAAGTACCTGCCTCATGGAGCAGAAAGTTCTCAACCAAAGGTTCATCGATGACTGCAGACTAATGTTAGATGATTACTTCTCCCAGAAGGTGGTAGAGTCTCACTGTAGACAAAATTACTCCCGAGGCTTTTTTGAAACTATGCTTTTATATAAAAATATAATTAAGTATTTGGCTTTTATGAATCTTGCAAAAACAGTTCATATGTAGTGATTTCCTCTTAGGTATATATATATTTTTTCTGAAGGAAATTCCATGTGGAGATGATTATGATCCTGAAGTGTATGATCCCTTTTATATGAAGAGAAAGAACCCAGATTATGGAAAGGTAGAGTAGGTTACTTACTTTTATTTATTTATTCTTGGGAGCTCTGGATTTGGGGAAAACCTAGTCACTTTAGATGTCTTACAGTTATTCTCTATTCATTAAAAAAATTCCATAAAAGCATTTCCATTGACTGTAAACATAGGAACCCAGAGTAATTTAGACTCCTGGAGAATTTACAGTGTGAACAAGGCATGCATGTGCATGATAATTTGTTCATACATACATTTGCTCACATCCAGCAAACTTGAAGCATAAGAGGGGGAGAGAGAGAGAGAGAGAGAGAGAGAGAGAGACAGAGAGACAGACATGGACAGTGAGTGGCAACTTTGTCATAAAAATCAGTGCAGGGCTCTGACATAAGGCAGCATTCCTTTCTACTAGAGATATGGGAGGGGTGTCAGCACAGGCTGCCCACAAGATCTGATAGCTGAGCTTGTAATGAGTTTTCAGATTTTTAAACTGCCAACATATGAGTTAAAACTGAGAAATGCAAGTTTCCATTTGTTGCTCCTATGTAGCAGATGTAGCCATCTGATATGACTATTAATTTTTTAAAGACATGTATGACTCTGAGGAGAGAAGTGGTTTAATTTGCTTCTCTTAGAGAATCAGGCCAGGTCAATAAAATGAAGACGAAAAGGTGCTTTTGGTTCTGGGTAGAATCTCATCCTCTGGGGTGTTGAAGGCAATATGTGTTATGCTGCCTCATTTATTCAGAAATTGCCTACCTAGTACTTCAGGCCAAGCATTAGGCTAAGTGTTATGGGGTAAACGAAGAAGAGGAAAAACAAGCCACCATCCAAGGCTTATCATCAGGAGGGAGAGGGGGAAAATAGCTCTCGCCATAACCTCCGTATGACCCTGCCCTTGTACAGGATCATGCCTCTGGCCACCCGCTGTTCTGCTCTGCAAGCTTCCCCAGGCATGGTTCTTCCTCCCAGGCAGGTTTAGAAGCACCCCCATGCTCCTAATGTGTCCTGCGCCGACTCCTCTCATGACTATATTGCCACTGTATATGATTTGGCTGTTCGAGACTGAGATCCTTGAGGACAGGACCTAGCCTGGATGTGGCCTGCAATGGCATCACAAATCTCTACTGCCAGATGCATTTATACAGTAGCACTCTGAGCAGAAGTGTGTGTCTTCTATCCGGATGGCCCATCCTCCGTTGGTTCAGACACATAAGGCCCTGTGAGTGTCCTTATGTAAGCAGGGAATAGTTACCCATCCACCACTCTGTGGATTGACATCGTTACTGGTATTTATTACTGACTGCTTTGGTGTACAGTAAGGCCATACTTGAAGGCTTAGGACAGGTTTTAAAAGCTTAATACAAACTGCACTCAGATCTGCAAAGAGTCTCTTTTCTTGTAGGTTACAGTCCTGCCATTTTTTGATCCTCTGTTTCGGAGACAGCAAGAGGTGGATGAAGAGAAGAGAGCTACTCTTCAGTATGAGACAGGTGCTGTTTGGTCACTGGGCTTCATTTTTTGGGACTGCCAATTGTCAAGTGAGTTTCCACCCCACAAGCGATGGGAGTTGCCTTTAAGAGTGTTGATTTAGATCTTGTGTCTTCCTGTAGGAAAACGATATTCCATAAAAGAACTTAAGGAAATCGAGAAGGCCAGGCTGCAGGCCAGATTGCGCCAGTTCATATTCACTCTACGCAGCGTGAGTCCAAAAGCACGGCGTGAAGCCTCGGCCAGACTCACAAGGCCTGAAACCTGTGGTGGAAACAGGTACTGGGGACACGACCAGCATGCAGATATGGGTTGAACTTGCAGTATAGTGTGTTTCCTAATAAAGATCTTGTCATTAGTTACAGTTTTTAATTTTAGTGGTTTATAGTTTTATTATTACTGTCATCACCTTTACATTGTAAAATATACATAGAAATATACATATACAAATATATATTGCATATATACAAATCCATGAGTCAGTCCTGTGAAATCACTACCCAGGTCAAGAAAGGGACTGTGTCCCCACCCATGACAATCTCCTCCTTGACCCAGAGTGATCTTCACTTTATAAGCATTCACTTCCTTGCTTTCTCTATGTCTCGATGGTGTTGCCAACTAATTTTGTATCCTTAAACAATTATAAATGAAAAGAAAGATAAATGTGATTATATCAAAATTAAGAATACCTATTCATCAAACAACACCATTAGGAGGAGTAAGGCTACAATCCTCAAAATAGGAAAAGATACTTAAAACACACATAACTGAAAATTGATTCATAGCCAGAATAGATAACAAACATCTACAATCACTAAGAAGAACAACCCAACAGAAGAACACAGCAAAAGTCTTGAACAGGTACTTCCCAAAGAAGGTAGCCCAACAGCCAATAAAGAATACAGCAAGTTCCTATGTACCTGTCACCCAGGTTCAACACTAATCAGCAATTTGCCCTACTTGTTCTCTGTCTCTCTCTCTCTTCCCAACTCTCCCTTCTTTACTGTCACTTTTCTGGAGAAAATTCTAGGCCTCATGTCATGGCTTCACTATGTGCCTCACAGCAAACAAATAAGTCAATGACAGAGAAACACCATTTGCAGTTTCCAGAAGTGTGCATCTGCTCATGAAAAGCCCTCCCATTTTTGTTTGCTTTAAAAGTCCTTATTTCATTTTCATTTTTTTAAAAAAACTTAAAACTTTTCCGAATAGGCTTTGGGCAATGCTGTCTGTGCTCAGGGACCTGGAGATTTCCCACCTTCTACTGGGAGTGCTCTGCTTGACTTGCCCATTGGGGGAGGGAGGTGTTTGGAGTGAGGTTCAGTACGCACCTGCCAGGACAGCAGCCAGGCCCCAGGAGAAGACATCCACCAAAGATGCGGGGAGCACAGGGGAGTGGGTCTCTACCCTGGTACCTGACCTTGGAAGACTCCCAAGGGGGAGGAAGGAACTGGAAATTGTCAGCTCATTCCTGAGGGCTCTCCCGTCTCTAGAATTGTTTCCACAGCTATCTAGTGACTTTCATGTTATTAATTTTAGGGGTAAATGTTCTATTTTTTTCTATTATTACAGCAGGACTTTTAGCTTGTGCAAACTTATATGCCCAAAAGTGAATGTTGTGTTATGTTCTCTTAATGTTTCCTTTTTATCCCCCATCCTGCATTTTGTTGGAATAAGCAGTGCTACTCTGATTCTGTTTCCCCTAGTGATTTGGAAGTTTTATGTTCTATTTCTGGCTTCATGTTTTCATTATCAATTTGAACAAACTTTTTTTTTTAGTTGGAGTTTTGCTCCATTGCCCAGGCTGGAGTGCGTGGCACACTCATGGCCACGCCAGTGTCAATCTGCTGGACTCTGGTGATCCTTCCACCTCAGCCTTCCAAGTAGCCAGAACTACAGGCATGCGCTACCACGCCCGGCTAATTTAAAAAAAATTTACTGTAGAGATGAGTTCTCGCCAAGTTGCCCAGGCTGGTCTCGAACCCACGGTCTCAGGCAATCCACTCGCCTCGGCCTCCCAAAGTGCTGGGATTACAGTCTGAGCCACGTAGCCCGGCAACAACAAACATTTTTATTTAAACATCATTAATTACATACAACCCACCCCCAGCAAGAGAGTCTACATTTTGCTTCCTCTCCTTCTCCTTTTTCCGGCACTTAGGCATTTGCTGTCACAGCTTTTCAGCCAGTGTCCCTTCTGCAATCTGTTGTCCACCGGCCAGCCCGAGTGATCTTTTTGAAGTGCTCAACACCCCCCACTGGAAACCCTTCAGAGGCTTCCCATGGCCCTTACAACCAAGTCCAGGCTCTTCCACATGGCACGCAAGTCGCTCTCTGGGCCCTGCCACCCTTGCTGGCTGCATCTCAAAAATCCTATCTTCCTAAATGGAGGAAATATTTGCTAATTACAAGAATCTCTGGGTCATGTCAGCATGTTTATAACTCGACAACCTGCTGGGATATGCCTGCCTTTGCTCCCTCTGGGTATCACTGGCCACTCCAACGCAGGCAAGAGGAACAGTGACTGCAGGGAAATACAACCCCCCACTCCTACCCCACCCCACTACCTGACTGACCTGTTCCTTCATCAGCAAGCAGGGACTGTCTTATTTATCTTGGTGTTTCCAGCACTTAGCTGGAACATAGTTGGTGATGAATAAATGATTGTTGAATGAATAAGTGGGGGAAGAAAAGGAAAAGCTTATTTCCCAGGCAGGGCTGGGCTTCCTAGGACGGGAAGGGGGCAGCTGTGGTGAAAACCTTCAGGGAGGACATGCCCAGAGGCCCTTGCATGGTTGCTTGATGAAGTAAGAAAGAGACTTGAGAGTGAGGTGACTAGATTAGTCAGAGACAGTTTGGCTACAAAACACATAAGCACAAAATGTAGTGAAAGGAGGGTGATTATATTGCAAAGTCCAGCAGATATGGGGAAATCACCAGGCTATGCTCCAAAGAAACCATTTCAGATTTTGGGGCTGAGTGCAAGGGGCTTACAAAAGGGAAACTTGCTATGGGGCGCCTTGCAGGTGTGGCTTGGGGTGTGTCTTCACAGCTTACCCCAGATGGGGGTCCTCCTGGAGGTCTTGTTGGTGTTGTCTCGGCTGCAGTCAGGTTATGGATCGGCCATCCCGTGACTCCCTCCAAGAGAGAGGGTCCCACAGTCAGGCTCTCTTAAGATTAGCCCCTGAGATTTCTAAGCAGGCATATGGTCAGATAAGGGTGCAAGGGATTGTAAAGCTGAGATACTTGGTTACAATTTTCAAGTGGAAAGAAAAAGTGGGAGGGGGCTAGATATGTTAGAAAGCACCAGTATGTCCCGGAGGTCAAGGCCGGGAGAAAGCCAGGTTGCTCGAGGGATCATGAGGCCAGTCCCTTCCTCTTTGGTACTCTGTGGCTCTCATCACCACTTCACTTCTCCCTCTGCACACTGGCTCTTTTTCGTGCACGTGCGTGTGCGTGTGCGTGTGGTGGAATGTGGATGCCCCATCCCACCTAACTTCCGGGCTTGGGCACCCAGAAGCTGCCTGAAAGCCCCTTTGATCCAATCACAACCATAGGGAGTGAGGCTCTGCCTCAGGTACAGCTGGAGAAGGGGCCTGTGACACCAGCTGGGGTGCAAGCGGGGCATGGCAGGCTAGGTAGGCCTGAGTTGAGGGGGTGAGAGCATTCACCAAACAGCTATGAACTGAGAAAGGCAGACTAAAGGGGAGAAATGCTGTGAAGGGCACAAGGGGCAGGATAGCAGCAAGAATGTCTGCACTGCAACTGTGGCCTGAGGTTTTTCCCAGTGGAGCTGGACCTTCTTTTAGGTTAGGGTGAGTTTTAGGATGCCCTTCATGCATTTGAGTTCCTGCTTGCAAAAAAGGCAGTTCTGATTGGTTGATGTTTGCCCTTACTTATAACCCACTTGTGAGCCAGCTAGAGGTTTATGAAGTGGCTGATTGATGGTAGGGCTTTGTTTCTTTAACAGCAATAGTTGACTGAATTTACCCAATTTACCCAACTGATGCTGACTTAACTGGGCCTCGTGTTCCTTCACAGGGCAGACAGACCGAGGTACAGTCACCCGTGGTGTCTAATCAGTCTTTCTTTTTCACAAAGTATTGAGCTCATGAAATTAATTTTCAGAAACTATCAAATGGCACAATTCAGTTTGTGCTGACCTGAGATCATTTTTTCCTATTTTGCAGCCCTGAAAAGCTCATCTGTGCAGAAAAGAAACATCAAAGGAAAGAGAAAGAGAAAAAGACAACCGACCTGAGTCAGGCCGTTTTTGAAAGGCAGTTTCGTTCCTCGAAGCTCAGCCAGAAGGACAGAGGGGACCAGAAGAAGGGGCTGGTGAGCAGAGACTTGGGGGCGGGGGGAGGGGGGTTCTGCACAGTTTCTCAGTGTCCCTGAGACAGCATGCTGGTTCCAGAACTGTGCCAGTGCCACGCCCTCCGTCTCAGAGGTTCCCAAAGACAGAGGCGGCCGTGGCCCAAGGAGAAGGCAGTGAAAAGCAGGAGGAGAAATGCTGGATGGCAGGTCCTTTCTGCTGCTCGGCGGGGTCCCTTGGGTGGGGAAGCCTTGTGGGAAGAAACCCAGGGAAGTGGCAAATGTGGGACCTGGACCCTACTTTCCTGAGTTTCTTCAGGGAACAGATCGTGCCCTTCCAAGGTGAGGGCAAACCTGGCCAGCAGGGATCTGCCCACTAAGACATCAGCTCCTTCTCCTGGGCTTCTGTCCTCTGCCATTTACTGCTTATGGCATCCAAACCAGAGCAAAAATGTTCTCCTTAGCTGGGAATGTTCTTCTTTTTTTTGTAGAGATGAGGTCTCGACATGTTGCCCAGGCTGGTCTTGAACTCCTGAGCTCAAGCAATCCTCCCACCTCGGCCTCCCAAAGTGCTGGGATTACAGGCATGAACCACCATGCCCAGCCCTTAGCTGGGAATTTAAACAATGAACTTTCTTTTTAAAAATTAGGGAAGAATGAGATTTTAGATATTTAAGGGGTATTTTGTATACCACAATTTTCTGAGCACAGCTCATGGGTGGTCTTTTCCCTTTCCATTGTCTCTGCCACACCCTGTACCCCCAGGCCTGCAACTCAGGACCCTTCCAGGGAAGGCAGGCTTGGTGGTCAGTGGGCTCAGAGCCTGACTTGAGCACACAGCATGGGGATATGCCCGGAGGACGAGGGACGCCACTTCTCTCTTCTTGAAAAAATCGTTAGATGTTTTGTGCCCTAACTCCTGCCCAATCCCAGAGTTCTCCCCAGTCTCTCCAGAGAGAAATGGTGAGCCATCATGTGCATCTTCGCAGCAGTTTCCTCTGAGCATAATTTTATCTGAGAGCACAGGGAGCTCCTTGCTATTTTTAAAAATATTCAGTGTGTAATGATTTGATGCACATATTCATTATATAAATACCAAATTATGATCACAGTCAAGCTGATTAATATATCCTCACCTGGTTACTGTTTGTGTGGCGAGAAGACTTAAGATCTACTCTCTTAGCAAATTTCAAGCTTACATTCTTTTTTTCAGCTGCAGATGGGAGTCACTTAGTGTGAATTTACTAACTACATCGTGATGATGCGGGTGTACGATCATTATAAGTTGAATTTTATAAATGCTCTCACGATAAAAAAAAATACAGCTGTCTAAAACTGAAGGTAAAAATGAGCATCTCTGGATTTCACTTTGTAACAAATGTACTAAAACTCTTTACTGAGTGTACTTGAAAAACAACAACAAAATCTGTATAAAAATAAGAGTGCTCCATTTCCTGTAACACCTTATTATCTGTGTATGAATTTGTTAGTACAAAAGCAGTGTCCACTTAGAAAATTATAAAAGCATCGCCACAGTGTCGTAACTGCTCTGCATTCTCTGGGAAAACATATCTCTGAAAAATAGTACAACTATTGGGAATTCCTAGTGAATTCCAGTCCTGGGTGTGCGGCAGAGCGTTCCAGTGAGGGCGGCATCAATCTCCCCTCTGTCCTCTGCACACCTCTAGAATTGTCTGCGACACTCACCGAGATAGAACTCTTCTTTCTTCAAACGTCGCCACTGATCTCTGTGGATACCCTCAGGTGACACTCTGGAAACCTCGGACGAACGTTGGGAAGTAGAGAACAAAGCCGAAGGCCACTGTCACTCACAGACTGCGCTCCGACGTGACACACATGACCCTTTTCTCTTGGATCCCACTCCAGCTTGGTGATGGCAATGAGGGACGCACAGGCGGGGGATCACCGCCGCGCAGGACACGGCGGAGGTGGCCATCCGCACGTGACACCTCGGGACACTGTCCCACTGGGGCCACGACTTGTCGGAGATGACGGCCTGCAGGAGCGTGTGCACGACACCGCAGACGAAGGCCGGAAGGGCCGCCATCGTGGGCCACCGGCTCAGCCGGCTCCTGAAAACTGGCGGCAACGCCCGTTCCGATACAGCCCACCGAGCCGAGGACTAAGGACACCAAGCTGAAAGCAGGAGTGCTGAAATATGGCTTGATGTTGCTGCTCAGCTGTCTTATGTCTTGGGTACATCGTGGCTGCGCCAAGAAATGCGGAGAAGCGTGTCACAGACCCCGCACACCGTTCTCCGGAGGCGTTGTTCCTGCGTCACGGACGTAGGGGAGCAAGGGGCTGACGTGCCCCGAGAGCGCGGCCCCCACGTAGGGGACGCTGAAGGCGGCGGACCACCGGGCCACGC